ACAATACAGTCTTTAAATAATAATACATTTTTTGCTGCTTGTCGTTTATTCCTTTTATATGTTTGTACTAAGCTTTTAAAGCAAATTATGAATCTGTCTTTCCTGTAAATTAATTTGTTATTCTTATAATCTCTTCTAGTTCTTCTTCTTTTTGTTACCAGTCACATGTTGTAGTTTCCAGGCCCACAGCCTTTCTGCTCCTCGTTTGCTCTAATAGCTGGACATTGACTTTCTCTATTTACACAAAGTGTATTGCATTGTCTTCTTTGAGAACTTCGCTTTTACTTTGCCATTTTGAATGGAGTCAAGCTAACCCCCCCCCCCCCCAACCTTTCCAAAATATATTTGTCCTCCACTTTGATGTTTCCTCCACGCTCTGTTACATTTTTTCCCTTTCATAATGACTTATTTTTCATTTGAATGTCTATATTCAATAGAAGGATGTTCAGCATTTGGAACATCCAGTAGAGCTTGTCTTTTCCTCTGCTTTATAGCTAATTTCTTCTCTCATATGGTCACCTTTTTCAGCTCCTCACTCTTCCTTTCATTCAGACCAGTTGAGCGATCTCATTTTCTAGTTACCCAATGCCTATAAACAAAGACTGAATTTACAACAATTTACTGAATAAAGAAAAACAGCATATTTATGTATAGCCTAGTACATTTGATTGCTGTTAAAACTTTAATATGCTTTTTCCTGATTTCAAATTTGGCTAATTTTCTAAATTTAATCAGTCACAAGTGTCCTGGCTAGATTTAAGTATATGCTGCTAGTTGTATGTTCTACTAGTTTAATAATAATTCAGTGTTGAAAACTACATTCATAAAAGGTGAAAAATCTTAAAATCTTGAAAAACAACTTAAAGAAATCTTGTTTTTCTTTGCCAGGAACAAAACAAACAAATTTGGCAAAAACAAGGAGAAAGGCAATGAAAACAGACTAAGTTTGTTGCTGCTTAAATGTTTCACACATGCAACATACAGGCCTAGTCAGCCACACAATGGAACTTGTTTATGGATTTATCATCAGCAGTTAATTGCAACTCCTACTGACACTGTTTGATCAAACTTGATTTATGTATATTGTCACTTTTTGATATGTTCTTATTGAAACTTAGCATAAGATGACTAATATTACATTCATGAGAACTCTCCTTCACTTTGTTCAAATCATTAGAGTCTTCAAAGTTCCTGTAGATGCATGAAGTTCCCCAAATCAAACTCTAGCTTCAATATTTGATTTGAGTTCAATAACATATTTTAGTATGTATTGTTCCTTCAATGTGTCTTGTGTTAAAATGCACTGATTGTAATTTCAAGACATCTGATTTTCAAATTTCAGTTGTTTTATTTTATTTGGCAAGTTAGGAAACAGAAGTTTTTGTTTTAGTTTTAGTTTTAGTTTTAGTTTTAGTTTTTCTTTGTTTGTTTGTTTTTTTGTCTGTTTGTTTTTTGTCTGTTTGTTTTTTTGACTGTTTTTATTTGTTTTTGTCTGTTTTTATTTGTTTTTGTATGGTTTTATTTGCTTTTGTCTGTTTTTGTTTGTTTGTTTGTTTCTTTGTTTTTTGGTTTTTATTCCATGTAAATATATGACTCAGTATGTTTTACATGTGTCTATTAATTACTTCATGCCATTGTTTATAGGGAAATGGATTTATCTTTGTTTATTTGTTAGTGGTTGCATTTTAGATCAACAAGATTCTTTTTTCTGAAACACTGTATTGATTTATGGGGTTTTAAAATGTTTTATGCCTTTTTAAAGCATATTGCTTAATTTCAATCTTAGAACATATTTTTCTTTCTTTGTGAACTAATAAATGAGCATAAACAAGTAGAATGGGTTGACTTGATTATAATTTGTGGCAATCTCACATAAAATGTGAATTCAAGATTGTTCAGCATCTTGTATATAATTTTTAACCGGTTTTTTAACAAAAAGAAAGGTTATATCAATTTTATTCTCTATTTTTCCCATTTCTTGGGATTTTACACTTTATATAAAGTAAAGGAAACGAAAACTCAAACATGTTAGATGTTTTGCATCTGGTCGGAAATAAGAATTTCGTTACTTGTTTATCA